TGAAGTCTACAAAAGACGTGGATTTTATACCCTTCACCACATGGTTCCTTTTGAGAATATGCGTAGAATCACATTTTAAGTCGATTTATGCATGTCCATCCGTCTGTCTGTCCATGTTAAATTGTAAACAAAGTACAGGTCGCATTTTTGATTCGAATTGGATGAAATTTTGCACAGCTAATTTATTTGGCCCAAAGACGAACCCTATTGAAATTGGGAAAAATCGGTTCAGATTTAGATATAGCTCCCATATATAGTTTCGTCCGATTTTATGTAAATGGTTCACCAAAGTCCTTATGTATCCTTCGATTTACACGAAATTTGGTATAGCGAACTGCATTAAGTCTAGAAAGATATGTGTTAAGTTTCGTGAAAATCGGTTCAGATTTAGATATAGCTCCTATATATATTTTCGTCCGATTTTAGGTAAATGGTGCACCAAAGTCCCTAAATAGCTTTCGATTTGCACGAAATTTGGCACAGCGTATTGATTTAAGAGTAGAATGATGCGTGTTATGTTTTGTGAAAGTCGGTTCAGATTTAAATATAGCTCCCACATATATTTTCGTCCGATTTAATGCAAATGGTGCACCAAAGACCCTATATATCCTTCGATTTGCACGAAATTTGCGACAGCGTACTGAATTCAGAGCTGCAGGTATAATGGTTCCTTTGAAAGAGCTGCGCGAATTCCTCTTCCTGTGGAAGAGCTGCAGGTGTTCCTCTTCCCATAGGAGGGCTGGAGGTATTCTTCCTCCTATAGGAGAGCTGCATGCAATATTCTTCCTATAGGTAAACTGCGGAAAAGCTGCAGGTATCCTTTTCCTGCGGAAGATCTGCAGATATTCTTCTTCCTAAGCAAGAGCTGCAGGTGTTATTCTTCCTCTGAAAAAGCTGCAGAAATTCCTCTTCCTGTGGAAGAGCTTCAGGAGTCTTCTTCCTGTGGAAGAGCTGCACGTATTCTTCTTCCTATAGGAGAGTTGGAGGCATTCTTCTAACTGTGGAAGAGCTGCAGGTATTCTTCATCCTGTGGACAAGCTGAAGGTATTCTTCTCAACTATGGAAGAGTTGCAGGAATTCCTCTTCCAGTGGAAGAGCTTCAGTAGTCTTCTTCCTGTTGAAGAGATGCACGTATTCTTCTTCCTATAGGAGAGCTGTAGGTATTCTTCTTTCTGTGGAAGAGCTGCAGGTATTCTTCGTCCTATAGGAATGCTCGAGGTATTTTTCTTCCTATATGAGAGCTGGATGTTATCTCCTTCCTACAGGTTAACAGTAGGTATTCTCCTTCCTATGGAAGAGCTGCATGTATTTTTTTTCCTATGGAATAGCTGCAGGTATTCTTCTTCATATAGGGGAGTTGCAAGTATTCTTCCTCGTATAGCTTCATCGGAAAAAATATTTAAAAAGTCCACGCCTTGTGTAGACTTCGGAAAAAATTATTTAAAAAGTCCACGCCTTGTGTAGACTTCGGAAAAAATTATTTAAAAAGTCCACGCCTTGTGTAGACTTCGGAAAAAATTATTTAAAAAGTCCACGCCTTGTGTAGACTTTGGAAAAAAAGTATTTAAAAAGTCCAAGCCTTGTGTAGACTTCGGAAAAAATATTTAAAAAGTCCACGCCTTGTGTAGACTTCGGAAAAATTATTTAAAAAGTCCACGCCTTGTGAAGACTTCTAAAAATATTTTTAAAAATTCAGGCCTTGTGTAGACTTGAAAAAATATTTTTTAAAAATCCAACAAAATATTTTTTCAAGTCTACACAAGGCATGGCTTTTTTAAATAATTTTTTTCTGAAGTTACCACAAGGTATGGATTTTTTTTTTTTTAATTTTAGTGTATTTGTTATTTCCCCTGACCTGCGTTTGTTTTCGATTTGGACCACTTGTTTATTTATTTATTTATTTTGTGTTGTTGTGGTTTTTTGTATTTTTACTTTGTTTAGGAAGTTATTTACAATTAGCGCCGCTTGTCTGTCTGCCGGTTTGTGGGGAACTTGCAAGATTAATAATCTTTTGATCGTGACCAATTTAGGTAACGAACAGGGTGGGGGTAGGTGTTGTGTGTGCCCAATCGATGCTTAATTTTTTAATTATTAAACAATTGACATATCACGATATGTCTGAAATCGGAAATTAATTACCAAGAATTATGGGCATGCTTATAAAGGGAGGAAGAAAAATACAAATAATTATAAAAAATGGAAGGGCGAACAAAGAACTTCGTAAGCTGGTAACAGGGAACTCAGGTGGGATCTATAGAACGATTTTCTTCGAAGTTAAATAAAATTTAATATTGAAAATACCATCTGAGACCCTGAGAAGTTAATTCCCTTTTTGACAAATATTCCTCAATTTTGTATTTCTCGAATCTTCCCCATTGCCAAATTAGGCAACTGACCCAAAAATTAAAAATTTTTGCCACAGTCATTCCGAAAAAAATCGACCATTTTAGAAAAAGAAAAAAAAATAAAAATAATCAAAATAAAAAATATCCAATTTTGAATGAATTATTGCACAAAGAGAAAATTTATCAACATTTAATTTGGCCCTATTATCTCAGCTGTCTCCCCACCGTCCATCCCATTATGGTGACTACACACTTCTTCGTCTTCTTCATCTTTTCACCATGTCATCCCTCATTGATCTTCTTTCATAATCGTTTGTCGGTGTCCGCAATTTTGCCGTGAAACTATTTCACCCAAAAACAGCAGAAGCTGTTTTGGATGATGACAAATGATTTTTTTTTTAATTTTTCGGAACGTTATTTGTTGTAGCATTTACAAGTTAACAAATAATAATGACAACAGCAACAACAACAACACAAAAGCTTTAACTTGTGTCAGTTATTATAATGATCACCGAAAAAAAGGGAATTTGGCCTAATGGTTATGTATATGAATTATTCAACAGAAAAATTTGCTATGGGTGTCATACAACACAAAAGAGACTAAGTCACTTTTATAAGAAAGAATAAAAAAAATTATTTAAATAATCCACGCCTTGTGTAGGCTTCGAAAAAAATTATTTTAAAAATCCACGCCTTGTGAAGACTCCAAAAAAAATTATTTAAAAAATCCACGCCTTGTGAAGACTCCAAAAAAAATTATTTAAAAAATCCACGCCTTGTGTAGACTTCGGAAAAATTATTTAAAGAATCCACGCCTTGTGTAGACTTGGGAAATAAATATTTAAAAAATCCACGCCTTGTGTAGACTTTGGAAAAAAATATTTAAAAATCCATGCCTTGTGTAGGTATCGGAAAAATTATTTAAAAAATCCACGCCTTGTGTAGACTTCGGAAAATTATCGATAACATTTTTTGCGTATAGAAAAGTTATCGATAATAATTTTTCAGTATAAAAAATATCGATTATAATTTTTTCGTATCGAAAAATTGTCGATAATAATTTTTTCGTAATAAATAATTACCGATAACAAGTTTTTTGTTTAGAAAATAATAATTTTTCGTACAGAATAAAATATCGATTGCCATTTTTCGATATAATTTTATCGATAATAATTTTTCAGTATGGAAAAATTATCGATAATATATTTTCTGTACCGAAATATTAACGATAATAGTTTTTTTGTATCGAAAAATGATCGATAATAATTTTTCTGTATCGAAAGTTACCGATAATAATTTTTCTGTATCGAAAAATTATCGATTATAATTTTTCTGTATAGAAAAATTATCGATAATATTTTTTTTACTTTTTCGAAAAATGATGGATAATAATTTTTCTGCATGGAAAAATTATCGATAAAAATTTTCTGTATCGAAAAATAATCGATAATAATTTTTCCGTATAGAAAAATTATCGATAATAATTTTTTGTATAGCAAAATTATCGACAATAATTCTTCTGTAACAAAAATTATCAATAATAATTTTTCTGTAACAAAAATATATCTATAATATTTTTTCTGTATAGAAAAATTATCGATAATAATTTTTCTGTATCGAAAAATTATCGATAATAATTTTTCTGTATCGAAAAATTATCGATAATAATTTTTCTGTATCGAAAAATTATCGATAATAATTTTTCTGTATTGAAAAATTAGCGATAATTATTTTTCTGTATCGAAAATTATTATCCATATTTTTCTGTATCGAAAATTATCGATAATAATTTTTCTGTATCGAAAAATTATCGATAAAAATTTTTCTGTATCGAAAAACTATCGATAAAAATTTTTCTGTATCGAAAACTACGGATAATAATTTTTCTGTATCGAGAAATTATCGATAATAATTTTTCTGTATCGAGAACTTATCGATAATAATTTTTCTGTATCGAAAAATTTACGATAATAGTTTTTTTGTATCGAAAAATGATCGATAATAATTTTTCTGTATCGAAAAATTATGGATAATAATTTTTCTGTATCGAAAAATTATCGATAATAATTTTTCTGTATCGAAAAATTATCGATAATAATTTTTCTGTATGGAAAAATTATCGATAATAATTTTTCTGTATCGAAAATGTATCGATATTAATTTTTCTGTATTGAAAAATTAGCGATAATAACTTTTCTGTATCAAAAAATTATCGATAATATCTGTATCAAAAAATTATCGATAATAATTTTTCTGTATCGAAAATTACCGATAAAAATGTTTCTGTATCGAAAAATTATCGATATTTTTTTCGATAAATTATCGAATTTTTTTATTCGATAAATTATCGATTATGTTTTAATCGATAAATAATCGATTATGTTTTAATCGATAAATTATCGATTATTTTTTATCGATAAATTATCGATTATTTTTTATCTATAAATTATCGATTATTTTTTCTTTATAATTCTAGGAATTTTTTCCAATATTTTTTTTAGTCGAATTTTTATTTATTTTTCATCTTTTTTCACTTAGTCTCTTTCACTTAGTCACCTCTTCGCCGAACTCTCACTTTCATTAGGAAAGTGTTGTGGATGGCTTCTTGTAATCACCGATCACCTCTAGTCGTAGTTTGAACTCCCATCGGTAATAATGTACGGTCGTCATATAATTCTCGCGACGGTTTTTCTTGTCTTCCCGCTGATTCTACGGCACGTCAATGGCCAACAGCAGGTCAGCACATTTTTCTCTTTTGTCCTCGATCGTTTCCGCGAGGGCATGAATATGTCGAATCTCGAGTACAGCGATAATAATGTGAAGATTTTGAAAAATTACGATTTTGTTATTGTGGGAGCTGGTACGGCGGGATGTACTTTGGCGGCTAGGCTGTCTGAGGTGCCCAGCTGGAAGGTGTTGCTGCTGGAGGCTGGTGGTCCTGAGGTCTGGCCGATGGATATTCCTGTTGTGGCCAATATGTTACAGGCCAACTTTGACATCAATTGGGCCTATCGTACCCAGCCATCGAATAAATTTTGTCTGGGTCTAAAGGACAAACGTTGTAATTTCCCACGCGGCAAGGTCATGGGAGGATCATCGGTGCTGAATTATATGATTTACACCCGTGGCAATCGTCGTGATTATGATACCTGGGCCGAGATGGGCAATGAGGGCTGGAGTTATGAGGATGTCTTGCCCTACTTCAAGAAACTCGAAGGTTCTTTGGTACCCAACGCCGATGAGGAATATGTGGGCCGTAATGGTCCCGTCAAGGTGTCCTATGCCCAGTGGCGTTCGGAGGTTAGCAAAGCATTCGTGTTGGCTGCCATGCAAAATGGTAGTGATTATGTGGACTACAATGGCCGGCGACAGGTTGGAGTTTCCTACATTCAGACCACCACAGATCAGTCGATACGTTGGAGTGCCAATCGGGCATATTTGTATCCGATCAAGGGGAAGCGTCCCAATTTACATATCAAGAAATTTGCCACGGTCACAAAGGTGTTGATTGACTCGAAGACAAAGAAGGCTTATGGGGTGCTCTTCGAGTCGAATGGCCAATCGTTTGAGGTAAGGGCCCGCATGGAGGTGATATTATCGGCGGGAGCCATAAATACCCCACAATTGCTGATGTTATCGGGAGTTGGCCCCGCAAAACATTTAAAAGAAGTGGGCATTGAACCTGTGGCAAATTTGGCTGTGGGTTACAACCTCCAAGATCATATAGCGCCGGCGCTGAATATTGTCACCAATGAAACCACTCTTACCGTGGGAGATTTCTTCGACATCGATGAAATTGTGAAAATGGATACCCGGAATAGTATGCTGTCCCTGCCCGGAGCCGTGGAGGCCATTGCCTTTTATGATTTGCAAAATCCTCAAGATCCCGATGGTTGGCCAGAATTGGAGTTATTTACAACCCCAGGGGCTTTTCATGAAAATGTTTTCCTTGCCTCGGCCATTGGGATACGTTCGGATGTGCTGCATGCCCTCTACGATGAGGTGGTGGAAAAGGATAAAAGTGTTTTCCTCATCTTTGCCATGTTGCTGCAGGCTCGTAGTAAGGGGAGAATTATTCTAAGGAGTAAGGATCCCGCTCAGCATCCTTTGATTTATCCCAACTACCTCCAAGATCCCTATGATATGGATGTTTTGGTAAAGGGGCTGCAGAAAATCATACATTTACTGGACGAACCTGCAATGAGGAAAATAAATGCCACCCTCTTGGAGGCCCATCTGCCCAGTTGCCAACAATATCCGGATATTACTTCGAGAGATTATTTACAGTGTTATATACGCCAGTTGACCTTTACCATTTATCATCAATCGGGTACGGCGAAAATGGGACCACATTCCGATCCAGAAGCTGTTGTAGATCCTCGCTTGAGGGTCCATGGCATTAAGAAGTTGCGCGTGGTAGATGCCAGTATTATGCCCAAATTGGTGGCAGGACATCCAAATGGTCCGATATTTATGATTGCAGAAAAGGCAGCGGATATGATTAAGGAGGATTATGGAAAGCTTTAAAAGCTTTTGGGGGAGGAAGAAAGCTATTTTGTAAATTGTTATTTTTTAAATTAATATTTATTTGGAAAATTGTGAAATAAAGCGATAAAAAGGAAGAATCGAATTTTTTGTAATTTTCGATAACAAAAAAATTATCGATAACAGTTGTATCGATTTCGATAATTTTCTGATGCAGACAAATAACTATCGACAATTTTTCGATTCTAAAAAAATATAAACGGAAAAAGTTTTATCGATTAGTTTTCTATGCAGAAAAATTATTATCGATAATTGCGTTCATACTGAAAAATTATTATCGATAGTTTTATTCTGTTTTTTTGTGTAAATTTTCCTTTACGGAAGAAGATTGTCGATAATTTTTTTTTATACAGAAAATTATTATCCACATGTTTTGGATACAAAATATTTTATTTATTTTTTTTAGTAGTGTTTGGCGGGTTATTTGGGATACCATTTGTATTTTGTTTTTGCAAAATATTTTTTTTTGCAAAATATTTTTTTTTCTTTAAAGAAAAATTATTATCGATAATTTTTACTTACAGAAAAACTATAATAAGGAAAAATAAATATCGATAATTTTTTTGTACCCAAAAATTATTATCGATAATTTTTCTATACCAAAAAAATATTATATCGATAAAAAATTATAATCGATATTTTTCTATCCGGTAAAACCGATAATTTGAAATTAATATCGATGATTTTTCTTTCTAGAAAAATTATTATCAATACTTTTTCTTTACAGAAAAATTATTATCGATACTTTTTCTTTACAGAGAAATTATTATCGATACTTTTTCTTTACAGAAAAATCATTATCGATACTTTTTCTTTACAGAAAAATTATTATCGATACTTTTTCTTTACAGAAACATTATGATCGATACTTTTTCTTTACAGAAACATTATTATCGATAATTTTTCCATTCAAAAATGTTATTATCGATAATTTTTCTATGCAAAAATATTATTATCGACAATTTTCAATGCAAAAAAAAAATTGTCGATAATTTATATTTGCACAAAAAATTTATATCGATAATTTTTCTATACGGAAAACTTTTTATCGATAATTATATGGAAAAATAATTATTATATGGAAAAATTATTATCGATAATTTTTCTCTACGAAACATTTATTATCAATAATTTTTGATACCCAAAAACTGTTATCGATAATATGAAATTAATATCGATAATTTTTCTACATGGAAAACTTATTATCGATAATTTTTCTATGCCAAAATATTTTTATCGATAATTTTCCTATGGAAAAAAAATTATTATCGATCATTTTTCTATCCAAACAAATTGTGTCGATAATTTTACTATGCACAAAAATTATTATCGATAATATATCTTTGCAAAAAAAATTATTATCGATAATTTTTCTATATGGAAAAAATATTATCCATATTATTTCGATACCAAAAATTATTATCGATAACTTTTCGGAAAAACAGAAAAACAATTATCGATATTTGTTTTTGTATCGATAGATAATTGTTGTATACATAAAAATTATTATCGATAATTTTTTGCATTGAAAAATTATTATCGATAATTTTTTGCATTGAAAAATTATTATCGATAATTCTTCTATATGGGATATTTATTATCGAAAATTTATTTGCATTGAAAAATTATTATCGATAATTTTTCTATATGGGATATTTATTATCGAANATTTATTTGCATTGAAAAATTATTATCGATAATTTTTTTGCATTGAAAAATTATTATCGATGATTTTTTTGCATTGAAAAATTATTATCGATAATTTTTCTATACGGAAAAATTATTATCGATACTTTTTTTATACGGAAAAATGATTATCGATCTGTTTTCTATACGAAAAAAATTTTATCGATAATTTTTTTGCATTGAAAAATTATTATCGATAATTTTTCTATATGGAAAAATTATTATCCATATTATTTCGATACCAAAAATTATTATCGATAACTTTTCGGAAAAACAGAAAAAAATTATCGATAATTTTTTTGTATCGAAAAATTATTATAGATAATTTTTGTTTACATAAAAATTATTATCGATAATTTTTTTTGTTTTTTTGGTACCGAAAAATATTTATCGATAATTTTTCTATACAGAACAGTTTTTTATCGATAATTTATCTTTGCAGAAAAATTAATATCGATAATAATATAATAATTATTCCAAAAAATTATCGATAATTTTTCTATACGAAAAAAATATTATCGATAATTTTTCTATCCAAAAAAAAAAAAAAAAATGTTGTCGATAATTTTTCTATGCAAAAAATTATCGATACTTTATCTTTGCAAACAATTAATATCGATAATTTTTCTATGCAAAAATATGTATAATTTTTCTGTGTGGATAATCTGTGGATCGATAATTTGTTTTTTTTTTTTAATTATTTTTTGATACTGAAAATTTATAATCGATAATTGTTCCATAGAGAATAATTATTGTCGATAATTTTCCAATACAGAAAAATATTTATCGATAATTTTCCTATGCAGAAAAATGATCAAAAAACTTAAATCGATACTTATCGTAGCTTTTTCATTATCTTATTTCTTTGTAAAACCATTACAACAACTTTTGAATACCACAGACACTCATACACACAAACAAAAGACTTAAGACACAAACGTCAAAGCATCAAAGCAGCCAGCCATTGATGGAGCAGCAAATGAATCATCTCAGTGTTTAAGTGTGACAACAACAAAAACAACACCAACAAGTTCTTGTAAAAGTGGTTACAATAAATTATGGTTGGTGTAAACAAATCGGAAGTTAGGCGTTTTATTGTGTCAAAATGTAATTTAGATCTCTATAATCTCACACACTAACACACATAGAGCGAGGCAGTTCAATGAACTGAATTATCATAGAAATAGGAAGTTGTAAGCTCAGCAAGGTCATAGCATAATCTTCTTTTTTTTTCTTGACCCATTACACTCCATCACAACATTACATAAACTCAAACTATTGTAAGAAAACCGGTTCATATGGTTACATGAATGAAATGAAGGGGAGGGGTAAGAACAAGATGTTGACGGTATCAAAAAATCATGTTTGTTTTTTTAATAGAAAATATGATCGTAAATTATTTTGTAGGTGTCAATAATATATTTTTATTGAAAGAAAAAAAATATTCCCATAGTTCTCCTTCGTCTTTGAATCAGTTAAGGTATTAGTTCCAAAAATAATTTTTTTAAATTAAAATTATTTTTTTTAATCCACGCCCATGGTGGCTTCCAAAGAATATTTTTTAAAAAAAAATCCAGGCCAATTGTGGCTTTTAAAAAATATTTTTTTTTTTGAAAAATCCAAGCCTATGGTTTCGAACACGCTTCAAAATATTTAAAAAAAGACTTTTTTGGCAAAAAAAAAAAAAAAATCATTTTTTATAATAATTATTTTTTATTTCTAATTTTTGGTTCTTAAAAAATATTATTTTAAATTTTTAAAAATAAACAACAATAAAAATGCTTATTACAAACTAATTAACAAATAAAATAATACTTAATATAACCTTGGAAGGGAGGTCGGTTTAACTTCACAGCATACCATAATCCTGCTTGATCATATCAGCTGCCTTCTCGGCAATCATATAAACCGGCCCATTTGGATGTCCCGCAATCAGCTTCGGCATAATACTGGCATCTACCACCCTCAAATTTGGTATACCATGGACCCGCAAGCGATTATCCACCACCGCTTCTCTATCGGAACTTGGTCCCATTTTCGCCGTACCCGATTGATGATAAATGGTGGTGGTCAAGTAGCGAACATAACATTCCAAATAGGGTCGGGAGCGTATGTGACCATATTTCCGACATGGTTTTATGCTACTATTCAGTAGCGTAGCATTCACCTTACGCATTGAGGGTTCATCGAGAAGTTCAATGATTTTTTCAATACCTCGCACCACAATATCCAGGTCATAGGGGTCGTGTAGATAATTGGCATAGATGAGAGGATATACCTTGGGGTCCTTGCTGCGCAGTAGAATGCGCCCCTTGCTACGTGGCTGCATTTGCATGGAGACAATGGCAAAGACATTGAGATCCTGTTCAATGGCTTCGTTGTAGAGATCATCAAAGATATCCTGCCTTATGCCAGCTGCCCGGGCCAAAAAGGGATTTTCATGATATGAAGAATCGGCCACAATAAATTCTATGTCTGGCCAGCCATCTGGATCGTTGGGATGATCAAGATCATAGAAGGCAATGACTTCGAGGCCTCCCGCCACCGACAAAGAGCTGTTCATGGTCTGTAGAGCCAGGAAATTATCGGAGTCAAATAGGTCAGGTAATTTGATGCTACTAACATTGGCCACCACATTGACGGGTGGGGCAATATGGTCCTGCAAATTATAGCCTACTGCTAAATCGACAATGGGTTTTATGCCCACCTGGCGTAAATGTTTGGCTGGACCCACACCGGATAACATCAGCAATTGGGGGGTATTTATTGCTCCCGCCGAGGATATGACCTCCTTGCGGGCCCTCACTTTGTAAATTTTGCCTTGGGACTCAAACTCCACACCATAGGCCCTTTTCGTCTCCGGATCAATCAGGAACTTCCGAACATGGGCATATTTTTTGATATGCAAATTGGGCCGCTTATCTTTCACGGGATAGAGATAGGCCCGATTGGCACTCCAACGATGTGTTTGATCCGTTGTGGTCTGGGCATATTGTACACCCACCTGGCGCCGGCCATTATAATCCAAATAATCGTAACCATTCTCTTGGACCGCTGCCACAAACGCCTCACTCAGTTGGGTATGCCATTTGGCATAGGACACCATGACGGGACCATTGCGACCCACATACTCCTCTTCTGCATCGGGTATAATGGATCCCTCCAATTTTTTAAAATATGGCAGGACATCCTGGTAGCTCCAGCCTTCATTACCCATTGCCGCCCAGGTATCATAATCCCGACGATTGCCACGAGTGTACATCATGTAATTCAATACCGAACTACCACCCATAATT